ATTGGACATAATGCTCCCTTTCAAATAAATAGCTTCCAAACCACCTGAGTGCAATTCCCCTGACCCCATAGTGTTCGAGTTTCCCAATAAGGATCTCAAAATCAATGGTGTCAAACGCTTTTGATAAATCAAGAAAGACACCAATTCCACATTCCCCTTTATCAACAGTGTCATTAATTTTTTCAATGAGATCAAGAACTGCCATACATGTGGTACTCTTTTTTCTAAATCCATACTGAGCTGGGATGAGTATATCCAGTTTGTCCAAATATCCACTCAACCTATCATAAACAACTCTCTCAAGCACCTTAGAAAATGTCGGTAGGATGGATATTGGTCGATAGTTTTGCAAGTTATTTTTGTCACCAGATTTGAAAATTGGCAATATTTTTGCAATCTTAGTCATTTTCGGAACTACACCTTGAATTAGAGAGAGATTAATGCAATAAACGAGTGGGTCTACAATGTCCAGTGCAATGAATTTGACAATTTTACTACATATCTCATCAATACCAGCAGTATGTGAACTTTTCATGTTCATTATGATTTTGGAAACTTCAGTTTTATCAGTAGGCGTTAGAAAGAAGGACTGTAGATAATTCCCTTTCAAGTATTGTTTGTAGTTAGCTCCCCCTGGTGGACTTATGGCTTTTGAGAGTGTTTCTCCTATTGAATTAAAGTAGTTGTTGAAGTTGTTAGCAAGATCATCATTGTTTAGAAAGCTATTCCCATTTTGCTGAATTATGGTGTCGGGAAGGACCGTAGTTTTTTGACCCCGGCTGAGCACGCTGTTCAGTACTTTCCAACACTGCTTTTGATCACCACGAGAAGCCTTAATAAGCTCGGTGTAGTGGTTTCGTTTACTAGTTCTTATTATCTTTGTTAGCTTGTTCTTGTAGTTTGTATATTTTATTTTGTTTTCAATAGTTGGGTTTTCAATGTATTTTTTATAGAGCCTATTTTTCCTTTTAATTGACTTTAAGATCCCCTTTGAGAGCCATGCCTTCTGTTCAGTCTTATTTGCTTTAATGGTCCTTTCTGGTATTGTTGAATTAATGCTGTTTGTTAATTCATTAATAAAATTATTGTAAGCTTCATCTGGAGTTTCACAGTTATAAACAGAGTCCCATGTTTTATGCTTAAGCATTACTGACAATTTGGACAAATATTTTTCTGTTATTACTTTACATTTCCCCTTGTGAGAATTGTTGCTCGGTTGTTTCCCAGACGTACTATCCAGATCAAGGAAGAGTACAACTGGGAAGTGGTCAGTAAAATCTGTCATGATTACACCAGAGTCAAAACGAGCATTTTCAATATTTATTAAAATGTTATCAATAATGGATTTGGTGGTTTCAGTGACTCTAGTGTACGAGTTTATTGTTGGGAAGAAAGACGAAGACAAAAGACAATTTAGAAAGTCTTTTTTCATGCCACTATTTTTGGCCAGGTCGATGTTAAAATCCCCAAGAATAAAACAGTTTTTATTAGAGCCATTGATGCAGTTTAATAAGTCATCTAGCTTATTCATGAAGCAATTTAGGTCAGAGTCTGGAGGTCGATAGATTATTCCTACAATTATATTTTCCTATTTTCTACATGCATCTCTATGAAGAGGGAATCGGATTGTCCATCGTCAATATATAGGTCGTCGCGTACAGTCACAGAGTGTTGTATGTTTGCATATATACACACACCCCCACCTGGTCTACCTGTTCTATTCTTATTGTACAGTACATAGCCATCCAGGTTCAGAGTGTCCATATAAGACATTTCATTCACCCAGGTTTCACTACATCCTATAATATCAAAGAAGTGGTCCATAGAAGCTAGCAGGGAGAGTAAGTCGTTGTGATGCTTTATTAGGCTTCTTGTGTTTAGGTGTAAAAAGAGAGAAAGGAAGAAGATCAAAAGCTGTCATATTATCAGGAACAACACTCTTACACTTTAGATTATTCAAAGGAGTGCTGGTCAAGTACCTCGTGATTTTGATCAAAGTTTAATTCATCAAAACCCATTTAATATACTTATTAGAAATTGATTGATGACTGGAGTGTACGTAGTTAGACAGGTTGAGCATAACAAAAATTGAACTAAATACCTAAGTCCCCAAATCCCAAAGCCTACCCCGCCTCCCCACCCCCAAAACATACAACTGAGAACAAGAGTGACTGATGTACATAACATCTATCCACTCCCCTCTCCCCAAAGCTACTATTTCTGAGCCAAAGAAAATAAACAAAAAATCACTTCTTATAGAAGGAAAATAACTTTACAAAGCACTCAGATAATCTTCAGAACAAACCAAAATTAGGTGCTTAGTTAACAATAACCCAGAGTGCCTGGGCCAGTAGAGAGAATAAGAAAGGAGAACATAGCAAAGGTACGAAGACAAAAAACAAAGACAAAAAAAAAGAAACTGTTCTCTGTCTGTGAGCAGCTCACCGTATCATGATCGAGAGGAGCAATTATAGGTCTTCACCAAGGGGCCCCATCAAAAAACGTTTTCTTCTTCCTTCTGACTGTGATCAGGCTGACTTACAAAATCTATTTGTTACGAGTCCCATTTCCAAGAGTTCCAGAAGATTTGGCACAAGTTGCACCTCCTTTTTCAGTCATGATGGAACTAACAAGCTTTCCAACAACACTCTGGTGGTTACATTACCCCCTGAGACGATGTTGGAAATTCTAAGGAAAATTTTATTGTGAGGGGATGCTTCATATTTCCTCAGAATATTTGTATCACTTTTAGTTTGAAAATAAATCCCTGAAATTACACACAAAAAATTGGGGATTATTAATTGTCATCGATCGTCTTTCTCAAATGTAGCCACGTGTGAAATAGATACATGAATACCTTTGAAACAACTACACTTGTGTAGATGCGTTGACTTTTCTTTTTACAGTAGTTGTGACCTAAATAATCCAGATAATACTTATATATGTTTTTGAGAGCAATATGTTTTTGAGAGTGAGAGCGATTAAATATCAAGTCAGTATTTACAGTGTTTAACTGCTGAGGCTGTTTGTTATGCTGTTCCACTTGTGTGTACATCTGTGTATGTTGTTCTGACCTTGCATCCTGCATTTGTTGTATATTTGTTTTAGCCCCAATGCATTTGCGTCCATGTGTTTGCAGCCTGCTGTCGTTACATAAGGCGTTTAGATTATATAACTTTAGATTGTTCTCCATGTTGTGATTGTGCTTGTATACAGTAGGTCTGGAGCTTTCACCTACAACCTCAGGCTCTTTTATCCATTGACTCAATTACAACTGACAAAGCCAGGAGCTGCAGCCTTTGATTCTCTCTTAACCTGAGGAAGAAGACATTTGAAACAATGCTCCGGTCATATTCAAGCAAATAGTAATGACCCTGGTTACCATGATTAATTCCATACATACAATGTGTGGAACACACACATTACATTTGACTTTAACACTGTAATACAAACATGGTCGACATCATTATACTCCCTGCATGGCTTTTATAGAACTTCCTGGTTTTTGATTATGACTGATCATGCTCCCTAATGATCATGTTCCCTTAAACCCATAATGTGCTCTCCCTCTGCCTCTCTGGGCCGCTATCTTCTAGACCAGGGGTCGGGAACCCAAAATGTTCAAAGAGCCATAATTGACAAAAAAAACTAAAAACAACATCTGTCTGGAGCCGCAAAAAAATAACAGCCTTGTATGAGGCTTTTATGAAGGTAACACAGGCTGCAAGATGTATTAGCTATATTAGCCTAATATCTAAATGACAAAGTAAAGGCTACAAATACATAATAATCATTGATGATTATCAAATGTGTATTTTCACTGCAGCGTGTCGCACCACGCGTGTCGTGAATGACGCAACACGTGACGACTCTGCTTTAGTTTAACTTCCATTTTTTTGCCTTCATGCAATTGTAGAAATACAGAAAAATAAATCTGCTTTGGGCTCAGAGGTCACATACCGGCATCACTGTCTGCTCATATCCATCACGTCACAGGCTGAAGTTTGCTGGAGCTGAATTAAAATCCTTAATGGCCTTTTCTTTCACAGTCTTTGAGAAGGTTTTGAAGTCTGAAAATAGGTGCTCTGAATTTTTGATGAATGAATCCTTCACGTAATCACCGTTTACGGTGTTTTGCCTGTCATTGTTCCTCGTGTTGCCACAAAACTTCTCATTACAAACATGAAGCAGTCCTTCCTCATTGACTGAAAGAAAATGTTCATTGTCATTCTTAGTCCAGTCTTGTTATCGACTTTTTCTCGTTTTAGCTTTGGGATCCATGCGCACCTACAGTCTATCATGCACACACGCCGGTTTGTTTACAACAGCGGCCGCATGGGGCGGGGCCGCGTGACCGCGCGTCATAGGATATGACGCACTACGTTGACAGAAATGTTGAAATTAAATATTACTTATACACATTTTTACAGCATTTAAAAACGTAAAGATTGTTTTTCCTTCTACTGAAACCACATTCAAACTAGAAATAAAATATAGCCCTCACACTCCATTTTCAGACATGTTTGAAAAGGCTCCAGGAGCCACTCCAGGAGCACTCAAGAGCCGCATGCGGCTCCGGAGCCGCGGGTTGCCGACCCCTGCTCTAGACTCTAAAAGGAGCCATTTAGAAATCATGTTGGCGCTCAATGAGTTGCATAAAGGATCCCAATGTTGATATTATTATTAATGTCCAGTTTCCCCTATCACTTAAAAACATGAACAATAGGTCCATCATGCGCCTCCTGTATACGCCTCCTGTACGCGCCTCCTGTTTGTTGCCTCCTGTATGCACCTCCTGTATGTGCCTCCTGTATGTGCCTCCTGTATGCGCCTCCTGTATGCGCCTCCTGTATGCGCCTCCTGTATGCGCCTCCTGTACGTGCCTCCTGTATGCGCCTCCTGTATGTGCCTCCTGTATGTGCCTCCTGTATGCACCTCCTGTATGTGCCTCCTGTATGTGCCTCCTGTATGCGCCTCCTGTATGCGCCTCCTGTATGCACCTCCTGTATGTGCCTCCTGTATGCGCCTCCTGTATGTGCCTCCTGTATGCGCCTCCTGTATGCGCCTCCTGTATGCGCCTCCTGTACGTGCCTCCTGTATGCGCCTCCTGTATGTGCCTCCTGTATGCGCCTCCTGTACGCGCCTCCTGTATGCGCCTCCTGTATGCGCCTCCTGTACGCGCCTCCTGTACGCGCCTCCTGTGTGCGCCTCCTGTATGCGCCTCCTGTACGCGCCTCCTATACGCGCCTCCTGTATGCGCCTCCTGTACGCGCCTCCTGTATACGCCTCCTGTATGCTCCTCCTGTACATGCCTCCTGTATACGCCTCCTGTATGCTCCTCCTGTACATGCCTCCTGTATGCGCCTCCTGTATGCGCCTCCTGTACGTGCCTCCTGTATGTGCCTCCTGTATGCGCCTCCTGTATGCGCCTCCTGTATGCGCCTCCTGTACGTGCCTCCTGTATGCGCCTCCTGTATGTGCCTCCTGTATGCGCCTCCTGTACGCGCCTCCTGTATGCGCCTCCTGTATGCGCCTCCTGTACGCGCCTCCTGTACGCGCCTCCTGTGTGCGCCTCCTGTATGCGCCTCCTGTACGCGCCTCCTATACGCGCCTCCTGTATGCGCCTCCTGTACGCGCCTCCTGTATACGCCTCCTGTATGCTCCTCCTGTACATGCCTCCTGTATACGCCTCCTGTATGCTCCTCCTGTACATGCCTCCTGTATGCGCCTCCTGTATGCGCCTCCTGTACGTGCCTCCTGTATGCGCCTCCTGTATGTGCCTCCTGTATGCGCCTCCTGTATGCGCCTCCTGTATGTGCCTCCTGTATGCGCCTCCTGTATGTGCCTCCAGTATGCGCCTCCTGTACGCGCCTCCTGTGTGCGCCTCCTGTATGCGCCTCCTGTACGCACCTCCTATACGCGCCTCCTGTATACGCCTCCTGTACGCGCCTCCTGTATACGCCTCCTGTATGCTCCTCCTGTACATGCCTCCTGTATACGCCTCCTGTATGCTCCTCCTGTACATGCCTCCTGTATGCGCCTCCTGTATGTGCCTCTTGTATACGCCTCCTGTATGCTCCTCCTGTACATGCCTCCTGTATGCGCCTCCTGTATGCGCCTCCTGTATACGCCTCCTGTATGCGCTCCTATCACTGTGTGGAGGGAGAGGAAACATGCCCACTAATATCGTGAAGTGCTTTGTGACTTTGTCTGTGAAATCCACTATAAATTATAGATCTGAAATTTCCCAACTGTGGGACAACTAAATGATCTCTTAATCTCAATCTTAATTAAATATTACAAATAAACGTATCTTGCTTAATCCACCTACCTGGTATCCAACCTTTTATCACAAGTTTCTGCGATCGATAACACAAATATTCACGTATCATCAGTGTCATTGAGATTGCAGACTATAATTCATTTGTGCATTTTACATCTCCTGTCTCCCTGAACATGTGTCGTTTTGTGAGCGCCGAGCAGACATGGACCACGTGCTCCTTCTCTGAGCCACGCTGCTGCAGTCAGTCTTTGTGGCTCTGCTCTTCTGTCCTCAATTCAATTCACGAATAATAGAATGACATTTATCATAATCTGTTTGTAAGGCTCTGTCTTCTACAGTTGCCCCAATTTTACCACTCTCTGTTCACTGTCCACTCACTCACTCGTCAGAAAGTCTTCAGGCAGTGATTCATTCCATGTGTATTTGTGTCATGTTCCCATATTTGTGCATTTGCTAATTTTAGTTTTAAATATTTATGTACTTCTTGATGCACTTGTGCATTCTTGTTTGTCAAATGACTTAAAATTATCTTAATTTCTTTCATTAATCTTAGCTTGGATCTTGTGCCTGCCCATGAGTCCTTAATAAAGTCTAAATAAAAATTAAAAATTAAAATAAACTAATTTCAACAAGAAAATAAGAAAAATTGTTATTTGAGAACAATTAATATGATGAAAAAACCCTTCTGTGGAACATTCCGGGCAAACTACATTCAAGTAGTGGTGCCCAAACTTTTTCCAACCAAGGTCTACCTCAGCTTTAAATGTGGAGCTGCGATGTGGGTGGAGCTTAGGCTTTCAGGAAGTACATTTTCACATGTAAAATCAAGCCCCAGCGATCCAAGATGGCGCCGTAATCAAATGAATGGTTTGTGCTCAGTGGTGCATTGTGCCGGCATGGGGGCTGAAAGATTAGCGGAAGTCGCCTGGAACTCACAAAGATCCATGGGAAACTCGCCTGTATTTGGGCATCGTCTGGTCCTCCCGGTCCTGTGCAGTGGATGAACTCCCATGATGCGTTGCGCCAAATACGCGTGTGTGGCTGTCATGCACGTGCATGTGACGCAAGTCTGTCCTACCTCAATGACCGCCCGCTAGAGTCACTAACAAAGTATTGAGCACCGATGATTCAGATGGACCCGACCACAGCCGACCCACATTGGGAATGATCCAGAATGCACCTTTGATGATTGTAATACATGCTTTGCTCTTACTTGAGTTCCTCGAGACCCTACCCAAGAGACGGAGAGCTGCATCTTTGCTGGTTTATCCGTGGAGATTAACCCGACATGATTAGCACTAAGATGCTAGATTAGCATCGTCTGGCTGAGGCTCTAATGAAACCCTGATGAGACGATTTTACACTCTTTAATCAACACAAACTGGATTTTGAGGATATATGATTGATGGGATAAACTTTTCTGAAGCTTTGGTTTGTATTTCAGGAACATCATTACTAGATTATAGCCACAGTTGTGTTATAGATATGTGCATTTATTGTTTAGAAACATGAAAAAGTCACAATAATATTAAGTTCTCATTTAAATATCTGACTGCAGTAAGAAGCTTATGAACATTCTTGATGATCCCTTTACAGCAGTAATTAAACTCCTCTAACAACATGTAATTGTGTGTGTGTGTGTGTGTGTGTGTATCTATGGCAAGGTTAGGCAAAAACTACTGGTCGGGTTGAGCTGAAATGGGGTGTGCTGATGGGATGTGATGGTAGGAAGAGCCCTTTAAATTTCATGATGATCCGTGGTGTTGGTGAGGTATGAGCTCTCCGAGTCTAGTCACTGTGGTTTTTATCCCTAACTTATTGTGTAAATGTGTTCAAATGTACTTAAATGTAATAAACTTGTTCAGGTAAAACATATGTCCTTTTTTGAATCCAAACCTTTTTCTGTTATTGTCCCTACTTTCCCCACTGTTCTCGAGGCCTCTGTTATTGTTGATTTGTTCTTCTTTTTATATATTTTCTTGTAAAATGGACTCCATAATAGACCCGATATGACCTTGTCTCTTCAGTCATCATAATGCCCTCCTCAGCCCTGTTCGGCTCTCTTCACCATGGCTGCTCATTACTTCCCAAGGCCTTTTTCTTTTAATTTGTCTGCTTATTTCTTCTTCGTGCCATCTGCTCTCTCTCATTGTACTTTCCTAATTTCTATTGAAGTTTTTTTTGTAAACTACTTAAAGCATCGGTGCAACAAATGTTCTGTGTTCTTCACTTGATGTAGCTTTATATATCGGAGTGTATTTGAAGATCGGCCTAATGCCTCCAATGCTGTGAAGTGTTTTACAACCTTGACCCAGCATCACTCATCATTCAGATCTGTTTGTTTTGGCTCCGATTCACTCATCTTTGATACAGGAATCAGTGCAGCACGTGCCTTTTTGAAGTGAAAACAAAGCAGTATTATTGATTCCCTTTACTCACCTGCAGCGGAATTTCTTTTCTTGTATAATTAGCAGAAACTGTTCAATATTTTTAGGCCAGCTGTTTGGTGTTTGCCCTTGCTTCTCCCTTGTGTCATGTTCCCATATTTGTAGTAATGTCTATGCATGAACCATGTGTGATTATTTAAGATATATTTCAGCGCACATACAGTAAGTCTCACTCAAATAAGTCACAACTAAACGCATTTAACACAGAATTTAGACACAGTTTAGTAATGCCTTTATCTGAAGCATATATGGACGGACAACGCTGAGTCATTAAAATATACAAAAGACATTTCTGTTTGAAATTGAAATATATATGTGTATGTATGTACATAGACTTTGTGCTCAGAAGTTATGTATGCTCTGGCAAAAAACCTTCTTTTTCTGACATTTTTCAGACAATATTATTGAAGCTTTATTTTTTGATGAAGACTATCAAACCTCAAACCATGAGACTTATAGAATATATATAAATAATGTATTATTTTGTTCCTAAACAAAGTTATGACAGATTAATTCCATGCTAAGTGAGATATCAAGCCTTTATTTGTTACAATGTTGATAATGATTTTGAGCTTGTAAAGAAAAAACCCAAATAAAGACATTATCATCAAATTGAAAACAAACAAAGGCTTGAGGTCACTCTGCCTGTAATGAGTCGATATCACGTTGGTTTCACATTTTACGTAGAATTACAGAAATAATGACTCTTATGAAATGAAAATATCGTTCAGAGTTTCACCTGTACTGTCAAGGATAGTCACTGATGTGCGACACAGTTGTATAATTAAAAAAAACATTCTTCCAATCACTTCAAAGTTTTAGTGTTATTGTTAATTTACCCTATGAAAAGATGTATTCTGTTGGTGTGTGTTAAATCATGCGCTGTATAGAAAATTAAACATTTCACATTTTCATTGTGACATCTCTTGCAGGTGTGAGACTTATGATCATTATCTTAATTTCAGCCTCTAAGCTACCAGAGAATCTTCTAAATTATGCGTATGTGTACACAATACAATACACACAATACAATTTATTCTTGTATAGCCCTAGGTCACAACAGAAGTCATCTCAGAGGACTTAACAAAACCATTGAAATCACCAACACAGATCAGAGAATCAACAGTTAAAACACATGAAGAATATAAAGCACACACAGAAGAAAATGTCCATACATGTTGTAGAATGCTAAAGTGTCCTGATCATCACCAATCCTTTCTGTTGGACACTAACTGTCCAACAAGACCCTCCTGCATCGACAAGGAAAAACTCTTAAAAAACCCAGTGGGAAAAAGTGAGAAACCTTGGGGAGCACTAGGGAAACCCACAGGGAGGGAGACCCATATGAGAAAGGGATCCGCTCCTCCGGACGGACAGGCTAATGATCTAGGACCTAAGCTAGCTACAGAACGTGGACCAGTGGCCGCTGAACGTGGACAGGTCCGGTGCAGGACCGAAGCACTCCCAGGCGGGTCGGGCGGGGCAGTCCGCAGGTGTAGATGGAAGAGGCCAGGCTCAGAGATCCCGTCATCGTACCATGGAACAGACAATGGGACAACGGGTGAATAGTAATGAACAAACTACAGTCAGAATCCTAAAAGTGCTAAACAGATAAAGTAGGAAGGAGGAGAGGATAGTGCTCAAGTTACCATACTTCTCCCAGCAAACTGACTCCCTATGCAGCTTGACTGACACTCTGAGGAGTTTAACCTTCTCAGAGTCTTACCTTCCTAACCATATGCTAAACTAAAGAGGACTGTTTTAAACCTAGCCTTGAATAAAGAATAACATACAGCATAATATATAACATAATATACAACATAACACAATACATTATTGAATAATATATAACATAATATATAACATAATATACAGCATAATATATATAATATATACACTACATATTATATATTACCTAATTATATGCTAAATTAAAGTAAAGTGCTTTAAGCCTGGCCTTGAATGTGGAGACTGTATCTGCTTCCTTAACATAAATGGGAAGCTGATTCCACAGTAAAGGAGCTTGGTAGCTAAATGCTCTGCCACCAACAGTGACCTTTGAGACCTTAGGGACCACCAGACGTCTGGCGTTTTGTGAGCGCAACGCTCGACCTGGTTGATACGACACTAACGTGTCTTGGAGATAAGAAGGAGCCAAGCCATTTATGGCTTTATATGTTAAGAGAAGGATTTTAAACTTTATTCTGTACTCCACAGGGAGCCTGTGGAGTGATTTTAACACCGGTGTTATGTGCTCCCTCCTTTTGGTACCTGTTAAGATCCTAGCTGCTGTAT